GGGGGGGGGGGAAGAAAAAAAAAAAACAGAATCGCTGCCAGAGGGGAAAAAATTAAAATCATAATAATTATAAAATTTAAAAACATCTCAGGGAAGTGCATCCAAAAAAGATATCAGGATGTTTGCGTCTTATAAGGGAAGAGAAGTTAAATGATTAAAAGTGCCTTTTTTTTATTCCTGGGGGGGCAGGGAGCCAGCGGAAGGCAGAGCCCCTGCAGCGGCGCGGAGCTGAAAACCGAATGCATGTGAAGTGCTCCCCTCAGTGTGGGCAGTGGGACGCCCCCCGCAGGGAGCTCATCACGCCCATTGTGTGAGCGCGTGTGGCTGGGGGGGGGGCTGTGTGACGCACACTCACCCTGTTGGCTGAAGGACTGCTCGAAGACAGACTTGTAAAGGCTGCGGAAGGAGGCACTGAGATCTTCAAAGTCAGAGAAGAGGAGCTGCTTGTCCCTCTCCGGCATGCTGTACTGGGGCTGGGGGGGCGGCTGCTGCAGGCTCATGGGCTGGGACACAGGCTCTGGGTGGCTGCCGACCTGTCCGGGGATCAAACGGCACGGCCATTAGGGAAGGGCTTCCCCGAGCGGTGACGCTCCGAATGTGACCACCTGCACCGGAGCAGAGCTCAGAATCGGCAGCACGTTCAAGTCCGTCATCTTTCTGGAAGTGGCCCCAGCCTGCAGGGGGCGCTGCTGCCCAGCAGCCCCAGTGACATCACCCCGAATATCACCAACGTCCACCAAGCTGGGACGCAGTGTTTAAGGACGCCGGTCTAAGCGAGACGTGATTCCAGCACCTTGGAAAGCAAACTACGTTCTCAGACTTGTGAGTCGCTCTTCTACAGCCTGGTCCCGCTTGATGGAGAACGGCGTTCCCAGGAATGAGTTGCTCACCGACGAATAGCCGTGCACACTTCCCACGCTGTTCAGGTTCACCGACGCCAGGCTCTGGTCCGACAGGCTGTTGTTAAGGCTGCTTCTTGGGCTGTCGCTGCCATCCTGCTCTGTGTTGTACAATGCTACCTGAAAGGCAAGTCAGGGGATTCACCATAACATCGACCGTGCTTAACCGGGCAGGGAGGGGCTGCGCTGTGCTGGGGGTCGTGACCAGCCCTCCCAGGGACACTCGGGCCCCACAGGTTCTGGGAGCTGCTGGCTTGTGTCAGATAGGCAGCACAGAAGGAACTCCAGCAGAGGAACACAGTGCCCTCCACGCGACACGCATAGGAGCACCATTAAAAACGACATTCGTAACCGGAAGCCCAAAGTCCTGTTCCCGATTCTCACTTTCTTTGCTGGGTGACTGTACACAAGCACAAAAGGCAAGAAACTCTGCAGACAGAGAAGTGCCATAGTGCATTCTGCCACGCGGTGAGGAGCAAACGGAAATGGGAAGCAGGAGGGCGCCGAACGCCAGCACGGGTGACTGTCGAACCCGTAGTGCTGCAGGGTGTTCTGGGTAAGCTGTCACCGCCTTTCCCACCGTCTTTGGAACGAGGTGCCATAAGGAGCGCAGATATGACTCAGAAACGCAGCAGTGTTAATCTCAGGGACAGTCCTGCACACTGGTCCGCCGATGAGGGCTGACTGAAGCACACAAAGCCTCGGGGGAGCCAGAGTGACACGGACCGGACCACGGCCCAAATCAAGCTACACCCAGACCCAGTTGGATGGCCAGGCGGCCAGCCGAAACAGACATTCACCAACACACAGGCGTGATCGACCCAGCACCGGGACACGCGAGTGTGTGCTCAGAACCAGCCATCAGGGGTTGGGTGGGTGGGAGGTCATTGCAGCCCAGTCAGACCAGTGGAAAGCATGACTGCCTCTGTGAGCCAGCCTCTCCCTATGCCCGTGACGTGGTGCGGCGCCCCCCTATGGGGAAGCGGGAATTTCCACTCAGAGCGTCATGGCAGAAGCACCGCAGCGCGCCCTTGCTGACAAACTCCTACGCTGCGAGGCAGATAAAACTCATCCTATTTCGCTCTGAGCACCTTTCGTCCGGGTGGGAAAGTGCTGCGTTACCCTCGGGAGAATGCCTAATTGTTGGGAGACCTCACTGTCGGCCCGCGAATCTACTGCTTCATTAAGTGCTGGTTACAAATGCAAGCTGGAGAGTTAAAATAGCAGCACCGATCGCGGCCCCCACGCGACACCTGACAGCCACCCCCCCCGCCCAAACCCCTGGGGGGAATGGAGAGGCAAACCCGACCATGCTGACAAGCCGTCAGGAAATAAGCAGCGGCTCTGCTGGCGTGCCGTCTGCGTGTGCATTATGTATTATAAAGAAGCACTGGGAAGAACAGAAGGCGCAGTGCTGAATTACCCGCCGCGTGTAAGGAGGCTCGGCGGGGGGGCGGCACGGCTGCCTCGTGCCGTGGGTGTGTGAGACGCAGCCACTCTGCCAATCTGCTAATATCCTCATGAAATTCAAATCAGCCTCTCGGCTGAAGCCCCCTCTCCGAGGCCCCCCCCATCTCCTGGGCATTCCCGTCGCAGGCTTCCGAGCCCCTGCGGAAGCAGCCAGCCGGAGCGGGCGGCACAGGAAGCCGCGTCTTCGGCTGCCACGGCTTCTTCCCCACGCACCTGTGTCTTGACAGCTGGAGGGAGTTTCCCCACGTCCTGCTCTGATCTGTAGGGGGTGCCACTGAGGCTTTCAGCCTACGCCGTTAGCAGAGTAACCCCCCCCCCCCCAGCTTGGCTCTGCCCACACACGACGGCATCAGACCTCAGTCACCCTCAGCTAGCTGCGTCACCATTAATTTATTAAAAGTTTCATCTATTTGAACAAAAGCCGTTTATAAG